AGTGTCAATTATTCTACATATGTAACTCTTCTAGAATAAGAGATGCATGAACAGTAGCTGATAGTTACTAAGGAAAAAAAAAAAAAAGTAGCTGATAATTTAATCACTTAATGTGGGTGAGAGTTCAATTGATGCAGGTGATAATTACATTTGAGGCTAATAAAATTGGAGTTTATTCAATTATACACATTATCTTCTAATGGATCCAATGTTTGGCCCTAGCAATCACTGCATAGAAACTTAAAAAGATAAAGATAGGATGGTTGAATTCTTGTCTTTTGAAAGCTTCTGATTATATATCCCAAAAGTAAACAAAAAATGATTATGCTGCTTAATCTAATTGATTATCATCCTTGCTAAGCTCTAGGTTCCAAAGATGAAGGCATATGTCAGTGACACTGAAGATCTCAAGCTAGATCCTTCATATCAAGAGACCTGGGATGACATGATAATCAATGTAAGAGTTTGTAATCATTCGTTTTGTCACTCTTGCTGTCCTACCTAGCCATTGCTTGGCCACATAGTTGAAAACATCTTTGCCTATTTTCAGTCTTGCTGAACTTCTTTGTTTCTCAGATGCAATGAGAAATGAAATTTATTGCTTATGTGTGTATTGGTGACAGTTTCTTTCTGAATCTTTGGATGTGATTCAAGACGACAACTGGGTAATCTCTCTGGGAAATGCTTTCACCAGGCAGTATGCACTTTATACACCTAATGATGAACATTCAGCACTTCTTCACCGGTATCATTGGTTTTTACTTTTAAGTTTTGCTTTCTTGAATTGAGAAAAGTTAAACAAATTTTGTCATCTTCCTTTTTTGTTTGGGTACGTGTGCTCAACTTGTTCAGTTCTTCTTCTTCTTCTTCTTCTTTGGCAGTTGCTTGGGTATGCTCCTGCAGAAGGTTAATGAGAGGTCTTATGTTCGTGGCAAGATGGATTGGATGTACATGCAAGCTAACATCACTGTTCCAACCAACAGGCTTGGTTTGGCAAAGGCTATGGGTTTGGTAGACTTTGGAGTTCTCTGATTACTTTTCTTTTTTTACTTTTTTTACTTTTTCCCATGTTTGTGATTTATGAGACTTATGATTGTTATTACATTTAGGTTGCTGCAGCCCATTTGGATACTGTGTTGGAAAAGCTCAAAGAAATACTGGATAATGTTGGTCAAAGTATATTTCATAGGTCTGTCCTAACAATGTCATGCAATCTGGATATGTTTAAAGGAAAATAAAGTCATCTTGTTTTCTAATAGCTGATACAACTTTCTTCCCAAAACAGAGTAAAATCACTCTAGTTGATTTGTCTTGTTTATTTGATAATCTTATGCGTCCCTCAACGGGTGAAACTAAAAACCTGAAGTATCACTATGAAAATTAATGTTGTCTTGGTTTTCTGTTTAATAGGCTAGTTGTTAATTGAATGGGCATTGCTTTTCTTTCTTTTGTTGTTGTTAATTGATCAGAAGTGCATGGCTTTCCCTTCTGCAGATTTTTGGCCTTCTTCTCTGATAGTTATAGAACAGAAGACTCTGATGATATACATGCTGCTTTAGCTTTGATGTATGGTTATGCTGCAAGATATGCTCCGACGACAGTTATTGAGGCCAGAATAGACGCACTTGTGGTAAGGGATCTTTTCATTTGGATTGTATCTGTTTATCTTTTCATGTATCTTCTTTAGGATTTTGAAGAAACTTTTTATTGGCTTGCTTATTCATATACCTACAAATATTAAGTTGTAGAGGATAAACTAGGAAAAGGAATGATAGGAAATCTGTGCCTTAGCTCTTAAACTGTCTGGTATGCTGCATAATGCTATTGCTGTTTCATACACTGGTAAACCTTGCTGTTTGAAGTTGACTTATTTTGACTGCATTATATTTATATTATCTGTTCCGTGGACATTTTTTATGGTGGTTTGTTACTATTTAACTAATTGCAGGGCACTAACATGCTCTCACGGCTTCTTCATGTACGTCACCCTACAGCAAAGCAAGCTGTTATCACTGCAATTGACTTACTCGGTTTGTATTAGTTATATTCTAGTATTTTTTCATTCATTTCCCAAATATTTATCTTTCTGCTTAACTTTTTCAAACTGTTATCTGATTTCTAGGAAATTTTTAGTGTATTACTTTTTTCGCATACTTGACACTATTAATGATGGTTGGCATCTGTTTATGAATATTTTTTTCCCTTTAGGACCTGTTTGGTTAGAGCCTTATTTTACCACAAAAGTTTGTACTAGGAAAGTACCGTTTGAAAAGTTAGAAAGTACTATATGGAAAGTTACTAAGTTTTGTAATGAAGTTTTGTTAGAATTTTGTTGAGTTATTAACTTTATTGTATTTGGTAAGAAATTGATATAAAAAGAATTAATAGGTAAAATTCTAAAATGAACTCAATATAAGAAAAGTTTTAAGATTTTTTTTTTTCAAAATAAGTAAAAAAGAAAACTTTATAAATTGAAAATTACATTAAAAATATAAATACTCAAAATACTATTTTTATTCTCTTTTTATTGTAATATTATATGTAAAAATATGTAAA